TAAAGAAATCAGTGATTAAATCATGTGATTATCAATTAACCTACTTAAAGACATTTGCCACCAGGTACAATCTTTGTCAGGAATGTGAGAAAAACACAAGAATATTGCTTCTTTTATTATACAGCTAATCTTAAACTATTTCTTATGAGGCCTGTATTTGATAAGATAGCATAAACAAAGTGTATTTTACATTTAGTGTAAATAAATACACATTAATTAATATGCTAAAAATATATTAGCTTGTCTTTTCCAGAAATCATTGAGAATTACAAAAAGAAAACTGCTGTGGAGTGTGTTGAAATGATGAGTACAAATATTCCAAGCAAAATATTTATTAATTTTATTTATTTGTTTATAAATAAACAATGTTTATTAACCTGTAAAAAATTGAAAGGAGTTTGTGTACTTGTAATCTTGAATTTGTTCATTTTAGATTAGAGAAGATGCTGACAATAAGATAAATATATCTGTTTGTGTAATATGAGCCAAGTTATTTTTCCTCTTTTACTTTCTATTTTTCTGAATTATTTAAACAGTGATCACCAGTGTACTATCAAAGTAAACAAATGCAACATCTAAAAGTCAGAGACTGACATTATCAAAATGGCATTCTGCAAAGATTAGTCTGTTGGCAATGTGCAAATTGGAATTGTTCACTGATAATTTGATACAGAAAACTGGTCAGCATTCAATCCAGATAGTTCTTTTCTTATATTTAGTTTTACCATTCCAAAAACAACTATGAACAAATATATATTAAAGAAAGATAAAAAATTAACCCTGTCAACTAAATTCAAGTAAAGGGATAAAAAGTTGAGGAACTCATGGAAAACCAAGGAGAAGCAACACACACACACACACACACACACACAACTGGTGCTAGAGTACCACAAAGTCACTCATTCTTGTTTAAGGTACAACCTCGCCATCTTGTGGCTTTTATGAATAATAACTAAGAAGTAAGTCTGCATTGCCAGTCCTATAAGTAAATTATGTGGAGGAAGGAAGTTGAAAAGAAAGTATTTTTTAACATCCTTTGATAATGCCCAGAATATAGACAATCTGGTCTCCCGAGCCCTTGCTGAGTTCATAGCTCGCCTTTAACTGGATCTAACTTGGTGTTTGTCTTCTTTCCTTATCTTCTGCGTTCTCAGACAGCAGGGTGATCATGGTGCTTTTGTTTTCTCTAACTCCTATGTCACTTCCCAGAGTGCTGAAAGCAGTCAGAAAACTCTCACTAGGAGAAAAAAATTGAACAAATGCTCATACCCACATATGTTATGGCCCTCAGATGCCTATTCATGCTACCTTAGGTAAGGGTCAGGTTAAAAATACTCAGCAGCTCATCAGAAATCATTGCTTGTATCTGCTCCAGGCCAAGAGCACCTGAATTATGAGGACAAGCCTCCTGAAGGGTATCAGTTCAGAGACAGCTTTGAGGACTCCAAGCAGCCAACAGTTTCAGGATGGAACTTTGTGCTGACAAGACAAAAAGACCCCAAAATACTGCAGTGAACAAGTGAAGTTAAATACAAAGCAACAGGCACTGTATGATTCATTGATATCAATGTTTAGAAAGTAGAAATCCAACCAAAAGTTATGAAAAGCAAACTAGTGGTCCTTAGGCAGGTGGGGAGTGACTAGTAAGAGCACAAGGACATGTTATGAGTTAAAAGAAACATTCTGTATCTTGATTATGGGTAGTGGCTACCTGGATAGGCACATTTTTCAAGTTATCCAACAATAAATTTAGAATGTATGTATTTTATTGTAAATAAATTATACCTCAATAAATTTCATATTTAAAAAAAATAAACAGAATGAGAAAGCACCTCTCAGATTCCTGTTTCCAGTTTCCTATCCTTTCTTGCCTCTTGGGATCACAGGGGTTTTGATGTAAATCGAGGCATGTACCTGTCTAATACTTACCAAGGGCTTTCTATAGCACTTAGAAGGAGCCTGAATTCCTTATCCTGGATTAGAGAATCCTATGTGGCCTGGTCACTGCCTGTTCCTTGACCTCACTACATTGATTTTCCTACTGA